ATCTATCCTGAATGCAGAGGATTTAGATTCTCTAGCTATGCAAATTATCAAAATTTTATGTTCATTACACCTTGTGTTTTCTCATTTATAATTACAGCGAAAATTTCTTTAAAATAATCTGTTAACAGGAGCATATATGAGATATGAGACATTTTAACTACAGAACCTAAACCCTACCTCTTCCAGTATGGACCAAAATCAAGATTAACTTGAAAAATGTTTTGATAATGAACTAAATGTGGCCTATTACTAGTATGAAATGTTAAATGCAACTGAAAATGAAATACACAACAGTGATAATGATGCATGTATTAGTGTATACAGTTGTTATTAGTTGTATTGGGTTGTTATAACTGCTTAGACAGTTATATATAGTTAGAAAATAACCATCCAATGTATGCTTTTGTTGAATAAATAAAAATACTCTTTCCTCATCTCTACTTTCTATTCTCTCTCTATATATATTCTCCCTCTCTCCCCTATCATTGGTATCTAGAGCCTGTCGACCTCGACCACATCATTCATGGCAGAAGCGACGCGAATGCAGAACGCTATTCGTGAGGCGGAGGAACGCATAATGACGGCGGTGGAGCCATGTATCACGAGGCAAATTTGTGAATTGGAGAACCGTTTCGAAACTCAATTCACCAATGTGCAAGAAGCCATGCGCGGAATTGGATTGCAAATGGCGGAGTTAACGGCGGCGCGTCGCCATGGTGGCAACGGCGACGGAGCAACTCGACCTGCAACGCGATTAACGCGTCTGGATTTCCCAAAATTCACTCGCGACGATGTCGGATCTTGGATTGCGAAATGTGAACGTTTTTTTTTGTTGGATGGAACGCAAGAAGGGGACAAGGTCTCGGTTGCGAGTATCGCTCTTAATGATAACTCTTTCTGTTGGTTCCAAAGTCTAGAACAGGGATCGAATGGCCGATTGACATGGCAGAATTTCACCGAGGCATTAAAGATGCGATTTAGCCTCGAGTTCGATTCGCCTATGGAAGAACTCAAGAAATTGGTACAGACTGGTTCGCTGGAGGCGTATCCGAAATCGTTTGACAATCTTGTGGGTAGAACAGCATTGACGGAATCTCAAAAGCTCCAATGCTATTTGGGAGGCCTTCAACAGGAATTGTGTAATGGTGTGAAGATGTTCGCTCTGCGAACGGTGTTGGAAGTTACTCGTATGGCAAAGTTGCAAGAACGAAGTTTGGAATTGTTACAGAAACGGTTGGGGCCTGCAAATCGAACACAAGGTTCTTGGAGTGAGAAGAAGAATACAGTTTCTCACACCTTTGACAAGAAAGTGATGCCTCTGGAGAAGAAAGGAAATATCGAAGGTTCTCAAAAGAGCATTTTGGGAAAGCCGGCATATACGTTTCAGAAGAAACTTTCTCCGAAAGAAATGGAGGAACATAGGGCTCAAAACTTGTGTTTTTTCTGTCATGACAAATTCTTTCCTGGACATGATTGTCCTCAGAGGAAGAAAATGCAAGTTTTCCTTATGGAGGTTGGGGAGGAAAACCAATTGGACACAATGGGAGTTGATTTTGTTCCTGAGGAAATGTCTAATGATCCTACTCAAGGTGTTGACCCTACTGTTTCACTTAATGCCATTCAGGGAGACTCTTCTCGTCCTATGATGAGATTCATAGGATGGATGGGCAAAAAGAGAGTTCATGTACTCATAGACACAGGCAGCACGCATAATTTCATCAACCAGAAATTATGTAAAGAGGGGCTCAATACTCTACAACCTATGCATCCCTTGCGGATAACTGTAGCTAATGGCGGTCTTATACAAGGTACAGGACGGTGTGAAGGCATCCGATTAAAGCTTCAAGGGTATGATTTTCTTACTAATGCTATTGCAATACCATTGTCCAGTTGTGATATTATATTGGGCATGCAATGGTTAAGGCAATGGGGAGTCATCCACTGGGATTTTACCAATATGGCTATGGAATTTTCTATGAATGGTATGCCGGTGAAGTTGCAGGCTGTTAAAGAAATTAAAAATAGCGTAGTTTCAGCTTCTAAATTGCATCAGTTAATGGTTGAAGACAGTTTCTGTTATATGCTACAATTGCTACATTGTTCCACAGAGGCAATGTGTTGTTCAGTGACCATTGAGGAGCTACAGGATCAGGTGATGATGGCTCATAGAGAATCTGTTTTACATGAGTTCCAAGAGGTCTTTGAAACACCTACTCAGCTCCCACCCTTTAGGGGTATTCATGATCATCAAATTGTGCTAAAGGAGGGTTCTAACCCGGTTAGTTTAAGACCTTATAGATACTCCCCCGCTCAAAAGGATGTCATTGATGGCATGGTTAGAGAGCTCTTGGATTCGGGAGTAATTCAACCAAGCTCTTCCCCTTTTGCTTCTCCAGTTGTGTTGGTCAAAAAGAAAGATGGGAGTTGGCGAATGTGTGTAGATTATAGGCGGTTGAACGAAATGACGGTGTAGGCTAAATTCCCAATTCCTTTGGTGGAGGACTTATTGGATGAATTAGGTGGGGCAATGGTGTTTTCTAAACTGGATCTTAGAGCTGGATATCATCAAATAAGGATGAAAACAGAGGACGTGCCAAAGACAGCGTTTCAAACTCATGGGGGGCAGTATGAATATGTGGTGATGCCTTTCGGCTTGTCCAACGCACCAGCTACTTTTCAAGGAACAATGAACACTATTTTTTCTGGTTTATTGAGAAAATGTCTTCTTATTTTCTTTGATGACATACTAGTGTATAGCCCATCTTTGGAGGCACACGTGGATCATCTTCGACAAGTGTTTCACATCCTCAAAGCTCACACCTTCTATGTTAAGAGAAGTAAATGTGCATTTTTCACGACACGGATCGAATACTTGGGTCATTTCATTACACCTACGGGAGTTACTACTGACCCAATTAAAGTTCAAGCTGTGACAGATTGGGCGGTGCCTCAAACTGTTAAGCAATGGAGGGGATTTTTAGGATTTACGGGTTACTACAGGCGGTTCATTAAAGGTTACAGCATCATTGCTTCTCCTCTTACTGATTTACTCAAGCGAGATTCTTTCCATTGGACACAAGAGACGCACGCCGCCTTCACTACATTGAAAGATGCTTTGAGTAATTCTCCGGTGTTGGCCATCCCTAATATGCAAAAGCCATTTGTCGTTGAAACAGATGCTTCGGGCACTGGAATTGGGGCTGTGCTAATGCAGGACAGGCACCCTGTGGCTTTTATTAGCAAGGTTTTGTCTCCTAAAAACAGGCTGTTGTCAGTTTATGACAGGGAATTATTAGCATTGGTTCATGCAGTCTCTAAATGGCACCAATATCTTTCTTTGAACACATTTACAATTCTTACTGACCAACATAGTTTGAAGTACCTATTGGAGCAACGCCTATCGACTCCATCCCAATATAGATGGGTCACTAAGCTCATGGGCCTTATGAAATTTTGTATAAGAAGGGTAAGGATAATGTGGTTGCAGATGCCTTGTCGAGAGCCTCGCACGGTGAAGTTTTATAATTGACCGTCTCTTCTATTTCTTCTGAGTTATGGGACTCTCTCCTTAAAAGCTATGAACAAGATTCAGCTTTGCATGACCTCAAGCTGCAGGTTCTCGCTAACCCAACCTTGCATCCCCATTTCTCTGTTTTGGACAATTTACTGTATAGGAAACAGAAGTTGGTCATTCCTAATGATGGGCAAGTGCGATTGGTGATTCTACAATGGCTTCATTCTTCACATCAAGGAGGCCATTCAGGCATCAGGGCTTCTATAGCAAGGATCAAGAGCATATTTTATTGGAAGGGCTTTGCCAAAGATGTCACAAAGTTCATTCAACAATGTGAGACTTGCCTTAGATGCAAGTATGAACCTAGAGTTGTTGCTGGTTTACTTCAGCCCCGGCCAGTTCCAGAAGGAGTGTGGCAAAGTATAGCCATGGACTTCATTGAAAAGCTTCCTAAATCCCATGGTAAAGACACGATTTGGGTAGTTATTGATCGGCTGAGCAAATATGCCCATTTTATTCCTCTTGCTCACCCTTTTACGGCATCAAAATTGGCTGAAGTTTTCATTTCTGAAATTTACAAGTTACATGGTGCACCTGCCAACATTGTGAGTGACCGAGATCCCTTGTTTACAAGTAAATTTTGGGGTTCCTTCCTTGGTCAATTGGGCATTTCTCAGAGCTTAACAACAGCCTACCACCCTCAATCGGATGGTCAAAGTGAAGTCTTGAACCGTTGCTTAGAACATTACTTGAGAGCGATGACATGGCAGCGGCCTAAGGAATGGGTCAATTGGTTGCCTTTGGCTGAGTGGTGGTACAATACCACTTCTCATTCTGCTATTCAAGCTACCCCTTATGAGATTGTGTATGGTCAAGCACCCCCTCTACATCTTCCTTATTGCCCTCAAAGTACCAAGGTGGAGGCGGTAGATCGAAGCTTCATTGTAAGGGAGGAAATGATCCAGAAATTACAAAGTAACTTGGTTCGGGCTCAAGCGCGTATGAAGCGGCAGGCTGATAAACATCGCAGTGATCGGGAATTCAAGGAAGGAGATTGGGTTTTCCTAAAGTTACAGCCCTATAGACAAGCTTCTGCTCAATATCGTGCTTCCGAAAAGCTTTCTCCTCAGTTTTATGGTCCTTATCAGGTGCTACATAGAGTGGGAAAAGTTGCACACACCTTGATTCTACCAGCTAGTTCGCGGATTCATCCTATGTTCCATGTATCACTCTTGAAACCGTGTCCCAATGCATGTATTAGTGTATACAGCTGTTATTAGTTGTATTGGGTTGTTATAACTGCTTAGACAGTTATATATAGTTAGAAAATAACCATCCAATGTATGCTTTTGTTGAATAAATAAAAATACTCTTTCCTCATCTCTGCTTTCTATTCTCTCTCTATATATATATTCTCCCTCTCTCCCCTATCAGATAACATGCTGTAAGTAAATGAAAATTAAACCCTTAACTATATAAACAAACTTCACATTGGAGCTACATTCCAGACTTTCACAAACCACTGTACCGCCAAAAACATTGAAGAAATTACCTTCACGGCTATTGTAAAACCATTGAATCCTTCCAAGTCAGTTTCAACTTTATGAAACCTTACATCTCTGATGTCCTCAATTAAAGACCTCACCTTCACAGGAGAAATAAGCTAAGCATCAGAAGAAAATCCTGCAGCATATTTCTGGAAAGTCAAACTTCTTTTAGCTCACCATGTATGCATCAGGAATGTTGTCACGTGCACTATAAATAAAAAAATAAAAAAAGATATTAATTAATTTGTTAATGTAGTAAAATAAAAAGTATCTAACAGAATAAGATTTTTTTTTAAAAGAACATGATATCATTTGTCTCTACACTTACTGGTCAAAAAGAAGTCTTGAAATTTCTACGTAATGAAATGGCAAATGCTCTGACATCTCTTGAGAGTCTCGTTCTTCTTCCAACACTTGTGTCAACTTCTCTAGTCACAAACAAATGTTATGGAGATATATTAAGTCTTTACTTCCTCTTATTACTTTGACCAACAACTTAAAGATAGGAAAAAGATCAGAGTATCACAGTACTACTGCCCACATGTAGACCAACCAAAGGACAGAAAAATTTAAAAAGAACTGGGTAATTAATAATCATAAGCAATACAAAAATAAATAGTGTTAGAACCAGTTTGGATTCTACTGTTTTACTCTGAACTTACGGGATAAAAATTATATGTGGATTTATTTGATGACGGAAATAACTTTCCTTCATAGTTGTGTTACAAAAGAGAAATACAGAAAATACAAACATTGCAGTAAGAGATAGAAAAGGTGGAAGAATAAAAAATAACGGCCCACTAGGAGTTAGAGAGTCTAGTCTCTCAAACCAACCAACATACAAAATACCCAATGCCTTCTATATGTCTCCTCCCCTCTTATTTATAATTATTATACTAGACAACTGCTGCCTATTTATTAAATCCAAGGCCTCCATCTAGAATAAGTTTTCACACTAGGAGGTGTAATACCAACATAGTTTTAAACAATAAAACAACAAATAGTTGAATACCTAAGCCTGAATCAGAAATCAACACATGTTAGTGTTATCAAGCAGTTTGTTCAATTTCCATCACATTGTTTGACAACACTATTTGCACTAAATCATGTATTGCAGAACAATAGTTGTTTTATTAAAACTCCATTACGCCATAGCAGCTATTTGACAACTGACAACACTAACACAAGCTTGCAGTCGAAGGGCTTTGAATAAAAGGTCAGGACAAAAAATGTAAATCATAGATACATATTCAAACTTCCCTCCTCTATCTCTCTTTTCCTTATTCTCATATATATCACAATTGAGCACCTCTAGTGTATGGCCATGTTCACCAACTAAAACATTGCCATTGTTAGACTTGGGAAGGTTTTAAAATCCACTCCACAAATCAACCACATTTATCTGCAATTTTCATTGAAGATCGCGACGAAATAGCAACCCCAATAAAAATCATTTTGGTGATAAAAATAAATAAAAAATTTAGCTTACCGACAGACATCCATTGGGGAGGGACAATGGAGCACTTGCCTCTCCTCCTGAGAGCAATTGCCAACCAAAGTGGTACTTGAGTAACAATCTGTGGCGTAAATGGACCAAAATCTCCCTGCCATTGTCATTATAAAAAACAAAATAATCAAGCAAATATGCATTAAAATTAGAATTCATGTTGAGGTGTTTGAGATATGAGTTATTGCTTACAGAAACTAGGCAGAGAGGATCCATTTTGAGATTAGGAACGATGTCGATTATCTCATCCTCAGCAATGAATTCAAGCTAATTGACAAGCAAAACAAGAGCATGATATATTAATAATTTTGAAACAATGTGAATAAGATAGTCCTATATGGGAGATATCACTCCTTCATACCTCCTCTGCTGAAAATAGTGAAAGTTCATGGTTCGATTGCCCAGCCATCTCTTCTCTTTCAACTTTGAACTCAAGAAACAGATCTGATTCACAGCTTTACTTGTCCTGTAAGGAGACAAACCCCATGGGTGCTAAGTAGTCAGATCCGGATGGGGGCACAGACCAACCCTCACAGTGGAATAGCATTTACCATGATGGCCGTCATTTGATATTATTTTGAACAAATTACATGAACAATAGTACCATAAACACATATTAATGAAAAATATAAAACAAATAACTCAAAACTCATGAAATATTTATAATCAACAATAAAATAAGGTATAGGTCTTAACGAAAAGTCATGAACACAAAGAAGCTTAGGTCACTAAGATGAAGTTGCTGATATTGCTGTTGCACAAATAACAGCAGGGGAAAACACACAGCATTACCCTAATAGTATCAATAAGCATTTTGAATCACGCTGTGTAATATTTGTTCAAGTTCTAATATGACAAAATTGATCCTTTTACTTTTTAAAGCTTGAACTAAGGAATTTACGAAAGGAGGACACTTACCTTTTAGGAGCGACGCTCAAGCCGATCGGAAGAACTCCGGCACGGTGGCTTCACTCCCAAAGTTTTGCAACAACTAAGTATGTGATTCATTGGCAGCTAGGGTTCGGGAAGAGGAAGAAAGGAAACCGATTTTTGAGCGGGAAAGACACGGTATCTTTCCCTTAATTTTATCCATTAGATCAATCTAATGGTTTAGATCTTATTTTATCTTATTTTATGTTTAATTTTATTTGTAGAAAAATATTTAATAAAATGCATTAGAAAGATTACAAACTTCAATTTATACAAAACTTCAATTTATGTCTTATTCAAAACTAGTAAAATACTAAATTATTAGTCACTTGGTGTTAGATTTAGTGGCGAGAATCACAGTTTGTGTTGGACGTAAGTGGGAGTAGAACTCCTAATTCTTTCGAACTTTTCAATAGTTTGTTTTCCACAATTATGGTTGGGAGGAGGATATTTTAAAAGAGATAATAAATTAATACTATAATTTTTTTTATATATAAAAATATTTGAATCAAAAATATAAATTTTTTTTGTATATAATATTATTTTTATTTTAACATTATTTACAAAAATATTTAAATCAATAGTAAATAATTTTTATTCGATAAAATATTTTTTGTGATCTCGTATGTTAACTTCAAAGTTTATTTTGGTATCTTAATTTAAAAAAATTCATATTGATTATTTAATTTTTAAAATGTTTTATTTTAATTTTTTTATTTAATTAGCGACGAATTTAGTGATTGATTTATAAATTTTTTTATCGTTAATTAAATAAAAAAAATTAAAATATCAAAATGAATCATTTTAAATTAATGAATCAAAGTGAACCTTGAAATAAACATACACAACCAAAAAGAATATTTTATTTTATTATTATTATTTAATATTTAATCAATAATTTCATGTTTCTGTGATAATTGTTTTAATTTAATGTTTTTAAAAAATAATAAATTATGATTTAGGCAAAATTTGTTTTCTATAGTTTATCAACATCATCAAAAATATTAAATTTTATTTAAAAATTAATAAATTTTAAAATGCAAAATATATCTTTAAAATAATTAAACATCATAAAAAAATCAATTATTCACCTTTAAAACTACTTTTGATTTTTTTTAATGATTTTTTTAAATTCTAAATCTTAAAGTTAGTTTAATTTTTTTAGTACTTTTATAAATTAAAAAATATTAAAACAAAACTATATTTAAAAAATATGAAAACTCATATGCATAAAATATTGGTGAATACTCTTAGATTTAATTGAATATGGTAAGTTCAATCAATCACACACTATACTCAATAACACGTCACTTTTTTATTTTATTATTTTAAAATAAATTAAAATTTTAACACAATTTACCCAATTTAAATTCATAAGTACAAATAATTTATCTAAAATATTTGTGCAAGATATAAGGATATCAACATGAGTAATTGTATCACTTCTAAATGTCACATCACATTACCCTCGTGACTTAACTCATCCACTTTCCACACAGTGCCACTTCCGGTGAAACCATTGCATTGCATCGCATCATAGAGTTTTCATTATTATTCTATTCTTAAGATAAAAGATATTATTTAAACTATAATTTGAATTTAGGTACCACATTAAGCAAATCATTTTGTTCATAGAGTATTGAGCTATAAAATTAAAACAATTATTAATCAGTCATTCATTCAAATGAAATATAAAATGCTCGGTAAAATAGTTTTTAGAATAATATTCGTGAATTTTTTTTGCAATAATTAATTTTTTATAAAAAAATCATCAATAACCATATTTCTTGAATAATTACGTAAATAATCAGGTTTTAGAAAATGGTTGGGAGCCTCTTTCAAGGTTGTCAAGTTGGATCTCAGGAGATGAGGTAGAACTCCAACTAACGTCATATTGATTCGGGTAAACTGTCGTTGTGGTATTTCCACCCTTAGTTGATTGTTGCATTTTGGAGCGGCTGTAGGCCTGGATATCATTACAACACTTACTGTCTGACGATGCTCAGCTTTGTTTTGGCCCCTCGGGTTATAGATGGCACTGGCTTCCTTCTTATCAGCAAAAGGCTTCTTTACCGAACTCGAAGAGGCATCCTTATGTATCTTGCCGCTCTGAATCCCAACTTCTACTCTCCCTCCAGTCAGAATCAGCTCGGTGAAACCAGCTGACGAGCTGCCGATCAAATGATTAAAGAATGGACCAGATAGCGTCCCCAGAAACATATCAACCAACTCCCTATCAGACAATAGGGGTTGGACTCTTCCAGCCAAGTATCTCCATTTCTGTGCATAGTCTTTAAAGCTTTCACTTGCACCCATGGACATACTCTGGAGTTGAGTACGAGTAGGAGCAAAGTCGGTGTTGTATTGATACTGCTTATAGAAAGCAGCATTCAGATCTTCCCAATTTCGGACGTTGGCTCCCTCTAGTTGGTAGAACCATTCAAGCTGAGTCCCTGATAGACTATCTTGAAAGAAATGAACCCACAAATTTCTATCAGCGCTGTGGGGCTGGATCTTTCTGACATAAGAGCGGAGGTGGAGTTTTGGGCAGGACACCCCATCATACTTTGCAAAAATTGGAGCTTTGAACTTCAGTGGGATGACCACTTCTGATACCAATCCCAATTCTTCAAAATCTAACCCAAGTATCCTCTAGACTTCCATGGCACTCAAATGATCTTCCAACTGCTTGTATATATCCTTAGCAGGAGGATACTGCTCATCATTGTAGTCGGTATCATTGTCAGAAACTTCAAGACTGAGGTCATTCTCCCTTGTCTCTTCTTCTTGATTCTCCCATTCTTTGGATAAAGAGGTCAGATCGACTTGTCGCTTCAACGACCCTCCAAACCTTCTGCCCATATTCAGAATACTGGCAGCCTTCTTCTTTTTCTTTTTCTCTTTCAGGATGAGGGCTTTCAGATCCTCCAGCCCTTTCGCCAGATTTATGAATATTTGCTGGAACTGGGCGTTTTGTGCCTGAAGGTCCTTGATGCTTTGTTCGGAAGACATTTCTGCTGAAATAAACAGCGAAGAAGATGAGAAACTTGTAATGGTACATGTACATGCAATGTTATGAATGGGATGCGCATGCAATGATTTCAAAGACTTTGGGAAATTTAAATTTGCGAACCAAAATGAAACAAAGATTTTATTAGTTGAATTCAAAGTTCAAATGCCTTTTAGGCATTACAATTAAAACAAATCTAAACTAGAAAAAATCAAAATTCCCATGGATGCTTCCTCTTCGTGCCGAGATAGACATTGAGTCCTTTTTCCTCATAGAGCTGGTTTGTGAGCTCTAAAACCTTCCTCTCCTAGGCATAGAACTGATCCCTGTAAGTATCCCGCTCCTTCTTCAACTGAATCCAAGACCTCTATAATTCTCCAAGATCAGTGGGCATATCAGGATAGAGAATCATGTAAGGAATATCCCCTTCAGTAGTGGGTTCCACAATCACTGGTAAAACGGCCATATAGGGCATCATAAATTTCTGGGTGTGAGCTCGTACCCATTGGAGGTAAGGTTCCATTGGAATGGAAGCCTTTGGCCCCAAAGCCTTGGCGCAAGATCTATTTACCATGCCCTAAGCTCGTATGAACCTTCAGCGATACTCTTGAACATCGTCCTCATAGTTGAATACAATGCCCTCGATAAGTAACTCATGGGGACCATCTCTTCGAGCGTAACCACATTGTCGCAAAGCTAAACAAGGATTGTAGGTTATACCCCCTCTGATGCCAAGTAACGAGACATTAGGGTACTCCCCGCAGCTATCAATAATAGCAGTGTTTTCCATAGCTCAGGAACACCAGAGAATATCCATGTGAGCGAGTGACATTATCCTTTGCGACCAACCCAAACCTTCTTCATTCTTCACTACAGACTCATAGAGGTGAGAAATAAACCACCTCGACAGCAATGGCATGCAACACATAAGAACCCCTCTTCTCTTCACGATACGAGTATGGAGAGTGTGCAAAATATCTCCGAGCAAGGTAGGCACAAGGTTGTGTGAAAATCTTGGTAGCATTCACATCTATGAATGAATCTGGATTAGGGAATAATACTAACCCATAGATTAGAATAGCCAAGACCTCCTCAAAAGCCTGAAAATCCATATCATCCCAAAACAGTTGGGCCTTGTCTATCAGGAACTTGGCCAGAAAACCCTTGACTCCACTTCTTGTTTCCCAATTGGATACCACGTCGGCCCGTTTCAGATGCAAAGCTGAGGCAATGACCTCTGGCTTAGGAACTTCTTTCAGACCCGTGAAAGGTAACTGTTCAAGAATGGATATATCCAATAGCTGAGAAAATTCTTCCATGGTAGGCACCAACTGATAGTCTGGAAAGGTGAAGCAGTGGTGCTTGAGATCAAAGAACTGAAAGAGTACACTCACCATCTTTTCATCAAAGTTTGAAGTAACCAGGTTGAGAAGTCGACCATGTCTCTTAGCGAATGCAAAAGTTTCGGA